GCATTAAACTCAGTAGCACATGAAACTAGATGACACCAAATCTTCAAATGAGAGGCTACTTTCCATTTCCCAGGACGCTCAGGGCTACAGACCAGGAGGCAGCCTGGTGCTGTGACCCACACTGCTTAGGGAAGGTTCTGGAAATGTGAGGGGAAGGCACGATGCAGTCGGCAGCCAGCTGGGGACTCAGCAAGTCTGGGTCCTGCTCTGCTGGTCTGTCTGTTATGCAAACAGAAAACATCTGCCTCCATAAGGCAGGCGTGAGGCTGGAGTTCTGTGTAAATCTAATTATGAGCATGGACCGAAGGCGCTGTCACTGTTTAACTCATCCGACCTTTTAAATGGATAACCAACCTTGAGGCTTAATTGGATTTAAAAAAAAAATCAATTTCTAGCCATCACATAGTGTTGAAATGAAGTACCACATTCTCAGGCAATTGTAAAATCAGGTCTGCCCGAGACAATTTTTTATTATTTACAACTTTAAAATGACATTCTCCATCTCCGTGAGCATTCTGTGCACACCTATGCCTTCTGTAAACAACGGCGAGCTCCCACGTCCGTCCGCACACGAGGCGAGGGAGCGGCGCCATCACTCCTCTTCCGCTCGCTCGCTCGGCAGCAGGCCGCTTCACCGGCAGCAATCTCTCCGCACCAATTACACAGAGCCGCGCTGGGGTAATGGCTCACCGCTGTCTGCAAATCTCTCTGAGCTGCAGCCTGGCATCATCTTTGTAATAAGAAAAACCCTTGAGGAAGCTTTTTACCAAATCACTCTTGACCATTAAATCTTTCTTGAAGAAGGTCATTTAATTTTATGGAAAGAAATGAACAATTAAAATGGAATAAGCAGAAAGGAGTGCTGGTCTAGAAATTAGGAAGCTGACAATTCCAGTTCTGAGTTACACTGGCCTTGTGACCATGGCACATCTGGGCATGAGTCTCAGTTTCCCTGTCTGGAAAAGGGGAAGGTTCAGTGTGGGAGGGCGTTCTTTGTCCCCCACAGTGGCTAAAAACAGAGGTCTGATGCCCTGGGTCAGAACACTAAGTTAAAAAAACAAGCATTTGATTCCCTCAGCATTTCCTGGGAAAATGAGACCAAATGATACAAACAGGGCCCTTGGCCTCTATCACATCTGTAAATGAGAAACAGTGATTACTAATGGTGGAATTTGGATGGTTAGCTTAAAGCAATTATAGAATTATAGTTGACAAACAGAAAATGCTAAACCCAGTGGTCTGCTTTAACGAAGCCTGATTTCAATGTGCATTATCAAATGGAGCCTTGTTTAAATAGCCCATTTTTGCCAGATTATGGAATGAAAGTGGAGGACCACACAATTATCTCAGTATTCAGGACAGTCCAGGGAGCTCATTTGCACAATTGGACAAATGATTATTTTCTTTTGCCCCAATTGGCCAGATAATTGTGCAGGAGTCTCTGCCATTTGGCTCTGTGGAATGTCCTTGATGTGGTAAGAAAATCCAGCACAGCCAGGTTTAGCCTGTCTGAGGGTCTGGAGTTGGGGACTAGATGCACACAGCTGGCGTCCCCCACTCTAAGTCTAAGCCCCAAATAGGAAGCACTTCTACACGAGCTGTCTACATGCCCACCGGTGCCCTCGTTAGCTTGTCCTGACACCCATCAGCTTGCAGGGTCTGCTTTCCTTCAGTTTCAAAACAACTAAACAAAAACATCAGATACAAGGTTAAAGGTGCTGTGTGGGTGGTCAAGAGAATTCAGAGAGAACCCAGAGGTTTCAAAGGGACAATAAACACAGAAACACACAACTGAGACCCACACTTACATGCACTGAGCAGAGCTAAGCTCCCAAGTACACATCAGACGAAGCAGAGCTGCCTCCTTCGAAAAAATTAAATCCTATTGTGTAGCTACAGACGCTGCTGTCCCCTCTTTGCCCACCTAATAGCAGCCCACCATGAAAAGGTTTCCTCACATTCCCATATGGCTGAGATACAAGGGACTCTGACCATCAAAGCAAGGAGGCAAGCTGTTAGGGCATTCACATGCCTCTGGTTCGATAGGTAGGCTAGCTATGACGTCACAATGGCAAACACATGAAGAAGGCTGCTCTTATTTCCCATACGATGTTCACCACAATTAGTGGAGTGACTTCACACACAGCTAGTCCTCCGACAGTCAAGACGAGACTCAAAAGGGTCACACACCTCTACTGCCCACCAACCCTGACCCGGTGCCCAAGTCTCAGGGCAGTTTGCTTAATGGCAATTGTCCAATTGTATGCACACACTCTTGTGCGACCATTTGAAGCCCAGATCACCAAAGACTCCATCGCAAAGATGACTGCGTTTCCATTCTAGAGCCACCCACAATCCTGCAAGTAGCACTTGTCTGCCTGTAATCCCAGCACTTGAGAGGCAAAGACAGAGACACAAATTCAAGAGTAACCTGGGCTACCTTGACCCTGTCTCAAAAAACATACTCTCCCCTCACATCCATCAGTCTACACATTTCCAGGCCTTCCCACGTCAGGAGGGAGGGCTTCCCACCTCCAGCCACGTCAGGAGGGAGGGCTTGAGCGGCACCACTCCTAGACTCAATTCTCTAGCCTTATGGCAGACAGGGCTAGTTAATGGTTGATGAGAACGGAGGGGCCGTACAGCAGAGTGCGGGACGCCATCTGTGGCTCACTTTCTGGGGGAGCACTCACCATCATGACCACCAGTCTGCCAGGACTCACGGGCAGTGATAGCAACCTGACTCGGGCCCTCCACCATGTCTCTCCCAGATACGCATGTAAATGAACATCAGCATTCTGCTCTGGCCTTGGAGGAAGACCTGGACATTCCTAGCAACAAACCTTGTCCCTCATGTCCGTCATACCACACCGGAGGAAGGCATTTGCACATGCAAACCACTTTGGGCACAATCTGAAGATTGCCAAACATGCTCACATAAAGTGTGTTTTCATAAAGAAAAATAATTATCTGCCTTTTATGTGGCTTCCCTTTTTGTATACTGGAGAGCAAACTGATTGGTCCCTTTGCGGGTCTCCATTAGATAGGCAAATCGACTTTTAGACACTGAGGCAGAGGCCTCAGGCACAAAATAAATAGCCATGGCCCCAAAGATCCCAGATATGGCCAGACCCTCTGCTAATACAACACATTTGAACAAAATATGACCCCCATCATTAAAATTAACACTAAGAATGCAGGATGCTCTTCATCTGTGAGACTGCTTTATTGTACAAAGTTTCCAGTAGCGGTGAATTAGTTAGGACAGAAAAAAGTCATTTTGGATAGAAGCGCTCCACTAATTGCTTTATTTAAGCACACAAGGAAAACAGTCTTATCTGGCCAATTAGGTTGGAGGGTTTTATTACCTTTAAGAAGCCATTAGCTGGGCTGAAACACTGCGAGCACTTGTGTCAAAACAAATAAATAACGCTCTCTCAATTAGCGGAGCGCGGAACATCCGTTCAATTAGACACACGCTGCTTCACACAGTGGCCCAGCCAGCACCCCAACACTACCTCCCCCCTCCAGCAACAGACAGACAGATGGACAGCAGTTTTCGGCTAGTCTTAGGAAAGATCAGGGGCCCCAAAGGACCAACACTTCTCTCTCCTTCCACCCCACTCTACAGAAGTCACCCAGGACAGTGGAAGGTGGTGTCCAGGGGTTGGGCTTCTTCCCCATGGTGCTTCCCAGGCACAGGGAGAGATGTGATTGTCACCTCCGCGGCTAGACTGAAGGGCAGGAGGAGCCCATAGAAAGTGGCTGTCAGCAGACAGAAGAGTCCTCTTCCAAAATCAATTATCCTGAGGTCCCTACTAGGACATTGGTACTAACTTCTCTTGTGTCCTCACAGGTTTCTAATCTTTCCCCCAAGACAGGCTCAACCCAAGAGAGCAGTGGGGTCCCCGAAGAGCTAGTGCACAAGGCTCTGATCCAGCTACAGGCCAGGCCTGCCCATGCCCCCTTAGGATGACCATCAGGGTGGCTGGGCCCAGACCAGAACCATACTGTCTTCAAGCAGAAGGGGACAGTCCCTCTTTCCACAGGTCCTTGGGACAATTTCTAACCAGAACTGTTAGGTTACCCAGAAGGGTTGGGGAAAAACTACCTCCCCCCTGAAGAAAAAAAAAAAAAAAAAAAAAAAAAACCCTATTCAGGGAAATAAATAGAAATAAATGGTGCTCCTTTCTTAAAAGGTCACTTTTCTTCAAGGCTTTCACAATGACTCAGCATGCTCCACAGATTGCTTGAAGCAGGCCTCCTAATGTGACCAGTCCACCCAGGAGCAGCTCATCTGTGGGAAGAGGCCTGTAGGATTCTGAAGTGATGGGGTAGGTGCTGACTCCCCTTCCCAACGCTCCCTACTATGTCACCAAAGGATCTGGTAAACCTCTGGACCCCAATATCCCACAGCCTGGGCAGGGAGACTGAGCTAATGGTAGGTCTGCATGAGTTAGAGTTTTGAGCCACCCCTTCAATGATATCTGTACATACATACATTTGCATATATACAAATGGAACTGTGACACACTCAACAGTCCCAGACTCTTAAATAATGGAACTGTGACACACTTAACAGGCCACACTCTTAAATCATTTAAGAGAGGCAGAGACAGTTTTAAAAAGACTACTAAAATGACAGCAGTGTCAATGAAGACAGCAAATGAGATACTCATACCCTCATTTTCAAAGCTCCGTCACTGTCCACATCACTCTAGCTCTGCAGAGCACGCCAGCACCAGAGTTAACAAGTAAACAGAACCTTACTTTGGCAATCTGATATGTATGTGATATGTGC